TCCCTCTGTCTCTCTGTGTCCTCTGTCCCCTCGCCCTGTCCTGACCTCTCCCTCCGTCTCTCCAGGACTGTCTCCTGACCTGCAGTCCATGGAGCAGATCCGTCGCATCATGAGACCCACAGACGTCCCGGACACAGGTGAGGTCCCGCCCCGGCCCTGAAACGCCCCAACCCCCCCCCCCCCCCCCCACCAGCACGTGCGTTCACACGCCCCTGGGACCCTTGAAGAAGCTGCTGTGCGACATCATCAGATCAGCTGAGCTGGGCCTTGTGTCCTCTTCGTGCTTGTAAGGGTTTTTCATCTTCTCTTCTGCCAGCAGAGATACCGTGTCTTCAGTGTTATTGAACTTAATACCACGGGAGCGATATCTTTGTCACTGTTTGACCTGTCCTATCCCTCCCTCCATTTTCTAGCCAATTCAGGGTACACCCTGGATGGGACACCAGTCCATCACAGACACACACAGACACAATTTTCCCAGAAGACAATGTCCCTCCCAAAATGTCCCTGGACTGTGGGGGGGGTCAGCGGAGCACCTGGAGGAAACCTACATGAACATGGGCAGAACATGCAAACTCCACCCAGACAGCACCACAGGTCCAAAGTTGAATCCAGGGCCCCCAGCTCTGTGAGGCAGTGAAGCCCCCCACTGTGCTGCCCTCTGTTTGAACTGTTAACGAGTTAATTGAAAAGTGAAATGGGTGTTTTTCCGGCAGTTGCCGAGTGGAGATTTTTCAAGCTTCAGTGAAGAGCAAATCGCCGGTATTTGTCGCAGCCAGGTCTGCTCCAACGTGTGCTCGTTAGCATAGCGCCGTCTCGTTAGAGGTCACACCGCAAGTCCGGCCTTTCAGGCTGGTTTCGCTCAATCGGACTTTATTCAGATGCGCTTCGGGTAAGGGGTAGTTTCAGGGTGAGCGGGAAATTCTGCCTGCAGTTCTACTGCCAGGTCACAGGAGCGATGCTGCAGCTCAGTTACAATAACCAGCAGCCTCCACCAGAGGGCAGCATCGTCCAGCAGCAGCGAAGCTAGAAAGCACCAGTATATCCACATGGGTCTCTCCTATAGTGCGTCAACCGCTTGGAAGATAACACACCTCACATGCAGAATACTGTGGTTTATGTTCTGAAATTAGAACAGCACTGCAGAGCCCCCTCCAGGTTGAAATGACTGTCAAAATATCCACTTGTGCTGGCAGGGCGGTGCATTTGTCTGTCTGTGGGTGGTGGGTGGCTCTGGTGTTTGTCCTGAGGCTGGGGGGTGTGTCCATCCCTCTCTCTGTGAGGACACGTGCCAGGTGTGCTTGAACGATGACATCGCGCAGGTGTTGCGGTGAAACTGGTCCCACGGGAAACGCGTCCCCGTGTGACCCCTCTGTCTGCCTGTCCGTCCCAGGGCTGCTGTGCGATCTGCTGTGGTCGGACCCCGACAAGGACGTCCAGGGCTGGGGGGAGAACGACCGCGGCGTCTCCTTCACCTTCGGGGCCGACGTGGTCAGCAAGTTCCTCAACCGGCACGACCTGGACCTCATCTGCAGGGCGCACCAGGTATGGGGTCGCCCCAGTGCGATACAGCGCCGCTCCGGGGTTCCTGGGTACGGGGTCACCCCAGTGCGATACAGCTCCTCTCAGGGGTTCCCAGGTACAGGGTCGCCCCAGTGCGATACAGCTCCTCTCAGGGGTTCCCAGGTACAGAGTCGCCCCAGTGCGATACAGCTCCGCTCTGGGGTTCCCAGGTTACGGGGTCGCCCCAGTGCGATACAGCTCCTCTCAGGGGTTCCCAGGT